CGATGTTATTCCTTCACCGTGGAAGTCATTATTGAACAATTTTAAGTACGTATTTCATTGGAAATTTTGGTACCTGTTTGCGGGATTCGAACACTGGCACAATCACATCGCTCGATCCATGAATGCACCGGGCGTCTTAACATTTAGGCTACGATGACTTCAAAACATTTTGCTCCTTTAATGTTATAAGATAAGTATTATGTATTAAAACTAATATGTACTCGCAGATGTAACCAATGTTTTCTATGAATAATCCGTATATGCTAGATTTATCTGCCCGTGAATACTAAAGTCGATTTAAATGGGTTTTTTTTTTTTTTTCGAAAAAAAATGGCAACTCGTTGACAGCAGCTATCTATTAAGTTACTCAGGCAAAACCCATATAAGTTATTCCAGTTCTTACACCTCCAGCAGTTAGCTAACGATTAGTTTAGACGTACCTAGAGCGTTAGCGTCAAGTCTAGAATCTAATTGGTACCTAGACGTGTCTCTGGCGGTTGTTTATTTACTTGCTAATAGGGCTGGTTCTGAAAACTAGATTCGTTTTATATATTGTGTTTTTTTTGCTTAATAGGCGACATTTATCTTAGTAATGCTGGTGGTGGTAGGACCTCTTGTGAGTCAGCACGGGTAGGTACCACCACCCCGCCTATTTCTGCCGTGAAGCAGTAATGCGTTTCGGTTTGAAGGGTGGGGCAGCCGTTGTAACTATACTTGAGACCTCAGAACTTATATCTCAAGGTGGGTGGCGCATTTACGTTGTAGATATCTATAGGGTCCAGTAACCACTTAACTCCAGGTAGGCTGTAAGCTCATCTACCCATCTAAGCAATAAATAAAAAAAATTAAGTAGTTGTCAAATTTAATTCTTCTAATTGCTGCAGGACCTTTATCGTGAGGAAGACTCTATCTACTGATAGTCATNACTCCTCTGCACTCTTACACCCGACGTCCGATCCCCTCCGAGGTCAGAACCCGGATGAGGTAGGGGGGCTACCGCGGTCAACACTACAACCAGACGGCGCGGCTCACCCCAAGGACGCCCAGCCGACGGAGCCTTCGAGGCGAATCGAAGGCTCTGAAACGTCGGCCGTCTCGGTACGGCAGCCCGTCGGGCCGCCCAGACGGTGCCGCTGGTGTCCCGGAATACCCCGCTGGACCAGAACCAGCCTGCCGGGTCGGGACGCGATACACCGTCGACCGGTCGCTCTATTTACTCCACGGCAGCGCGCTAGAGTGCTGGTAGCGCGCCGCGCGGCCTTATTCCTATGTTATCCGTTTTTTTCCAACCGTCACCTCCTCTTCATCACGATTTGATTAGTAACGAGATTGCACCTTCTGTTATCATTTTTTGCTGTAACTTTTTTTTTTCTACCTATGCTGATTGCCTTGAGAGGCTATTTCAGCTTCGCCCTAATATGAAGGTGAGCTCACGGGGCTCAAGCCGGAGTGTTGCTAACACTGGCCTTAGCAAGAGCAGTGCTTCGCAGAATCTACCACCGGATCGGAAACGCAACACACTGAGCTCCGGCTAGAAACTCAGTGAGCTGTGTCTATGGGTTAATTCGCTCGTTGAGCCCTTCGTCGCAAGCGACGGGTTCGACGAGGACGGAGACCGGTTCTTGGGGTACTTAAAAACACCGTTAATAGATCGGGAGGATCCGTAATGACGTGTTTTGGGCGACGTCGACTATTTATCATTCGGTCTACAGGATCGGGTATGTAATTTCCAGCGACCACGACAAGAGGGCAGCTGGAAAGGCTTATATCGTGCCGCCTTTTCAAAGTGATAGCTTCTGCTCAATGATGGCGAAATGGTGTGCAGATTAACAAAGAAAGATATCCACTGCTTTTTCAAAAAATAAACACTGCTAATTGATACCACAGCGATCATAAGAACAGTAGGATCTATCCCTATGACTAGATTACTAAGAAGCAGCCTGCAGACGGACATTTACGACAAACACATCTCTTTCCCTTTTGATTATTAGTCATTGGATGGTTATGTTGACACAATGCTATTCAAAAACGATTCCTTTCACCACACGTTGTATGACTGGATTAGCTGTAGTTATGACTGCGTGCCATCACGGCACTAACACGCGAGCACGCATATTGAGTACGAATTTACGATGCACTTTATGAGCTAACCCACCCTACGCACACCTGTTCACATTATTTTACGGCACACAGCAATTTCTGTATGGCGGTTGGGTCGTTTAATATTTTCTAAATGAACCCGATGTTTTATGGATTATTGCCTTTTTACTCGAATTGGCAAGCTGTGGTTATTTTTAATCTAAGGTATTTCAATTTATTGGTCTATCGAGAAACTTGTTGTTCAGGGTAGGGTCAATGCTAAAATAACTTGTGGACGAAGCCCCATGCGCCGGACTGATCAGATAACGGAATAGATAAATAATTATCTATTCCGTGGATCAGATGGTAGATATACTGGCAGTAGGACCTCTTGTGAGTCCGCGCGGGTAGGTACTACCACCCGGCCTATTTCTGCCGTGAAGCAGTAATGCGTTTCGGTTTGAAGGGTGGGGCAGCCGTTGTAACTATACTGATACCTTAGAACTTATACCTCAAGGTGGGTGGCGCATTTACCTTGTAGATGTCTATGGGCTCCAATAACCACTTAATACCAGGTGGGCTGTGAGCTCGTCCAACCATATAAGCAATAAAAAACAACACAAGCAAAACCCCGACTGTGGGTAAGGTAATAGTTTGAAACGTAGCGTAGTGAAGACGAGGTCTACTAAAAACAGGAAAGCGGGAGATTCGTCATTGAGGCACGCGGCCTCAAGTGCCTCACAATATTGCTTATGGAAAATTTTAAGGCAATTATTTTAAACAGATAGCCAATCAAATTCTTTAAATACCTCAACGACTAGCTTGGTTCTATTATGTATGTATGGTCCGAGTTAATTTTTATTGGCGTCCATCTTCAGACTACGCCATGCCACTCCAGAACCATATTGAAGGATGAAAAGCTATTTGTTTAAGTCGACATTTCGTTTATTACACGACATTTTTATCTTCTTTATTTTAACTGTCCGTTTTTTACGTATCAGCATCAACATAGCGATATTTTTTTAATTGAAATTCAATCAAGTTTCCATTCATATAGCTGAAAGAGTTTTTGTTATAAGGGAGAGAATAGGATACGTTTGTCCCGCGTGCCAGGGACTAAAAGCGAACTTTTCATCCCGGTTGAAAAAAAAAATTGTATAAGCACCTAGGAAGAAAAGTAGAATACAATTCGCGGGCGTGAATGTCCTACTATTCTCCCTCGGTGCGTAATATACTATTTCAAGTTATAAACTGTTAATCGCTCTCCTGTAAAGTTGCAAAGGATTGCTTAAATTAAATTTAAATAGCTTTTTATCCTTCGATATATATTACACGATGAAGAGGATAAAGGATCTAAGTCTCGGCGTTACCGAATAACGACCACGCTATCCTGAGTAGTGATTGATTGATATCACTTGATTTGACTAGTGGTGGGACCTCGTGTGAGTCCGAGCGGGTACGTACCACCGCCCTGCCTATTTCTGCCGTGAAGCAGTATTGCGTTTCAGTTTGAAGGGTAGGGCAGCCGTTGTAACTATACTGAGACCTTAGAACTTATATCTTAAGGTGGGTGGCGCATTTACGTTGTAGATGTCCATGGGCTCCGGTAACCACTTAACACCAGGTGGGTTGTGAGCTCGTCCACCCACGTATATCTAAGATATAAGAAAAAAATAAAAAAAATTTGAAATCTTATTTCCCACGCTATTAAAAAGGGTTCTACTAGAAGACATCTTTACACTGGTTCCGATCACCGTTAGTTAGAATTGGAACGAATTTCGTAACAACTGCTCATGCGTTTGGCTGCATTAGTTAATCTTCGATTGAGTTATCACTCGGTTTAATTGAGGAAGCAGACACAAGGTGATGTTTGTGGGAAGATTTCTTGGGTTATTTGTAAGCGTGTGATCGTTTAGTGCGTACCGACAACGTTTTGCTGTAGGTACTTTAAAATTAGACGTGTCCTGTCTGTTTGTGATGCATTTTCTCGGGATAAAGAGTTATCAACTAACAGACTTTTTTAGTCGTCGTGGCCTAAAGGATAAATACATCTGTTGCATTCGTGTTGAGCTATGCACCGGTGTTTGAATCCCAGGCGGGTACAAATTTTTCTAATGAGATACGTACTCAACAAGTGTTCACGATTGACTTCCACGGTGAAGGAATAACATCGTGTAATAAAAAATCAAACCCGCAAAATTATAATTTGCGTAATTACTGGTGGTAGGACCTCTTGTGAGTTCGCGCGGCTAGGTACCACCACCCTACCTATTTCTGCCGTGAAGCAGTAATGCGTTTCGGTTTGAAGGGCGGGGCAGCCGTTGTAGCTATACTTGTGACCTTAGAACTTATATCTCAAGGTGGGTGGCGCATTTACGTCGTAGATGTCTATGGGCTCCGGTAACCACTTAACACCAGGTGGGCTGTGAGCTCACCCACCCATCTAACTAATAAAAAATAAGAATTGGTGTAAATCTATTGTCTCCACAAGCACACACGAGCGATGATTACATTAAGTCCTAAATTTAATAAGCAACTACGAATACAAAATTCATGAAAATAACAATTCAATAATAATCGTTTCCAAATTAATAATTTCGGTGGAGTGTTTTATGTGGTAAACAAAATCAGTGCACAGTTACAAAATATATTATTATATTATAAGTAAGTAAACAAAAAGTGATGTTACATACCTAAATTAAAATATAGTAATAACAATCTTTTATGACTTATTACAAAGACATGCTGCTCATGAAATACAAAGTACATATTCATCGCCCCCCATGGTCCTAAATATTGCCGGGAGCATAGAAGATGCATTAAATTGTCGTGCACCAAATTAAAACTAAGAAGTTTTTAATAAAAAAATAACCAAAATTATTGAATTTATTAATTGATATAATATAATAAACAAAACTCACCTGTTATTAATCAAAACATGAATACTTTCATTCGTTTTCATTCACTGAACACAAATTGACACAGCACTTAGCTTACGAACGTCCACTCGCAGCGACAATTCAAAACGAACTGTTTTGAATGCTATAGTTTGAACTTGACTTAGGTTCGCTTGACTTTACCACAGGTTTGATTCTCGATTATAACGCGACATTTCTTTAATGTCGAATACAAAACTATTCTCGACGTCCTTTTATTATTTATTGCGTAGTAACGAGTTCTTAACGAGTTCTCTTAAGGAGTTCAGGCTGATTTGTTCTTAAGTGGTTATGTGGAATGCATGGCTGTATCGCGTCCTGAATAGGCAGGAAGAAAGTACCTCATAACACGCGCAGCTAAAGGTATAAATATATAATAGTTTTAAAATATCAGCCAGGTATGTTGTCGTCTTTTCCCGAAAACCGAAAAAAAATACATATTTTGTCGGAGAATTTTTGAAGACTGTCGGATAGACTTGTGCAACAAAAGTCTGTTTGCATTTGAATCGTAAGGATTGTATATGCCATTTTTAGTGTCGTCTTGCCATGAGAGATATAATTTCTCATTGACTGTCCGGATCGTCGCTTCGTTTTCTCCTCAAAAAAGACAAACCAACCATAAGGCGCTAAAGAATTTCTCAACATACATATGTTATGACTAACTTATGGATATGTAACAGACGTTAGACCCAGCGCCAAAATAGAGGGTCCTACACCACGCGTAAGATTTCACAGAAGGTAGACTGACTAGGTGAAGTCTGTAAGAATTGCTTTCTGCACGTAACATAATGAGACGCCATTAAGCATTGATGGCCGTTATTAGTGTGGCGAAGGACAGCCTGCGTTTAGTAAACTCACAGAATTCTTCTTATTTCTTTCACGAAGCACTAATGTGTTTCGTTTTATCGGTAGAATTATAAACGCAGCTCACGATTTAACATTAACATTGTCACTAACGCTGTCATTTCCATGAACTCGAGTAGCCAGAAGAACAGGACACAACTTCGAAAAAAGGAAACTGAAATACTACTATTATTCAATTAAAAATAATCGATGTGAAATAAAGTTGATATTGATTACTTTGTTAGAAGCGGTACCATAGTTTTGGCAGTATGTCTCATACAGTTATACCTCGAAAATATTTCGTGTCGAGTTACAATCGAGAACAATGAGTACGGTAAGAAGTGGTAAACGCGGTTTCAATCAGGCGTTACCGTTGATTTATTAAAACGATTTATATTACATCGATCGGGGTCAGCCCGGTGCATTTTATTTTTAAACGCCTATGAAGTAATTAAGTACTCAACTGGGAAGATTTTGATGATACTAATGACGTAACGCGCTTATCACTAAATTTTATACAATGACGTCACTTGTGGCATTCGAGAGGGCGATAGAAAAACTTGTCGGAGTGAATCGGACCAATATGCGACAATGTGCGTCCATGTGAAAAACCATTGATGATAGAAACCGCTGTTGATTATGATATAGATAGACCATTCGCAAATTGTTTTTTAGCTTTTCAATTCCACTTTGCGTTTACTGTGTCCATTTCCCAACTCTCTCTTGTGAGTCCGCGCGGGTAGGTACCACCACCCTGCCTATTTCTGCCACGAAGCAGTAATGCGTTTTGGTTTGAAGGGTAGGGCAGACGTTGTAACTATACTTGAGACCTTAGAACTTATAGCTCAAGGTGGGTGGCGCATTTACGTTATAGATGTCTATGGGCTCCAGTAACCACTTAGCACCAGGTGGGCTGCGAGCTCGTCCACCCATCTAAGCAATAAAAAAAGTGTATTAAATGAGTATAATTTACAAGTCAAGTATTTTTTTTTCCTACCCAAGCCTTAGATAGCGGGCAGGGCGATGGGAGAGATGTGCTCCGCACTCACTAAACGCTTCACTTTCCCCCCTTTGCCTTTTCATGAGTTCTGTCTCATGCGAGGTTTGGACGTTGGTTGTTGAGCGACAGGAGGTTTTAGTCAGTTCGACTCCAACATGCTCCATCCTCCATCCCCAGTGGAGGGCGGAAGTCCGGCGATTTCCTCCTAACCAAAAAAAAAGCCTTAGATACCTATGTCAGTGTAACCGCGCGAGTGGTTGAACTCACGGGGCTCTAACCAGAGGACGTTGCTAACACTAGCCCTAGCAAGAGCAGTGCTTTGCAGAATCTATCACCGGATCGGAAAGGCGGCTCACTGAGAAGACCCGGCGAGAAACTCAGTGGGTGTGGGTTAATTTACTCGCCGGACCCTTCGTTGCGAGCGACGGGTTCGACGAGAACGGTGAGCGGATATGAGAACTTGAGCGTTCGCTTACGAAAGAAATATCACGATGTAATATATTATTTAGCATGCGCTTTTTTGCGTTTTTGGATATAATTAAAAGTGCACTTATAGTTTAATATCGTGTTTATAATTTAAATGTTCTTTATTTATTTGTCAACATTATACCACGAAGACTTTAAAGTATTTGAAATACCGAAAAAAATTACGAAAATGATATAAATGAGAATAAACAGTAAAAGTAATCGCAATCATTATCATCATATATATTTATCTTCATTTAATAAGAAAGTAGTTAAAATTGAAGTTACGCAAGCGGTTTTACGACAGTACTCCATCCATAGATAGCGTTATTTCTTTTCTTAATCGCGTAATGATCATGATATTATATTGTTTAATTAATTTATAACTCGTTTACAGGCAGAATATGTGAAATTAAATTCGAAATTTCCAGCCGTCAGCGCAGACAATTACCTTCAAATACCTATCTACATTTTAAAATTCATAATTATAATGAACATTTTTCATTTATTTAGTTACTAAACACGTCATATCGGATCCTCCCGATCCACTAACGGTGCTTCTAGGTACTTCAAGCACCGGTCATCGTTCTCGTCGAACCCTTCGCTTGCGTCGAAGGGCTCGACGAGTAAATTAACCCTCAGACACAGCCCACTGAGTTTCTCGCCGGATCTTCTCAGTGGGTCGCGTTTCCGATGCGGCTCTTGCTAGGGTTCGTGTTAGCAACGTCGTCAGGTTTGAGTCCCGTGAGCTCACCTACTAGTTAAGGTTACGCTGATATAGCCTCTCAAGGCTATCTATCAGCTTAGGTAGGAAAAAAAAAAGTTACTAAATGAGTTTTATTTGAAAAAAATACAAGTTACTAAATTGTATTCTTTGAATTAGAGCCCGTCTGTTGAAATTAAATGATGTCATAATAACATTTTTTTTTATTTGTGCTTCTTTTAGCACACTAATAAAATATGTTCACGTCTGAACATAGACTTTCCCAAAGATTCGCCACAACGATCGGTCCTGTACCACCATTTTATTCGTAAAATAAAAGTTGAAAACAGCGCCACCTGTTGGATTTTTAGTATACTATCAAAAAATCTACGTTAAAATTTATTTCAGTGAATAGCAACAGTCCAGTGGGTAAGTCTTTTCTGAAAATTTAATTACGCATGGTACTACTAGGTGGCAGTAGGTAAATTTCAAATTAAACGTGAATTTTTTTTTTAATACTTTAAAGCCTATTTCTTCAGGTCTTTGATCCTGTTTGTGATGGTGAGGTTTACCAAGAAATATTTCTATTTAGTTATGTGGAAAATATTGGAAAGTCAGTCAAAGGTTCAAGGATCATATTGCCGTAGAAATAGGATATGTACCTACAGAGAGCCGACACACACAATTTCTGAGCTCATTTGTTTTTGATAAATAATGGCCATTTTGTCTATTTTTCTTTCGCAAAACGGTCATGCGGTCGAAGAATAAAACAGTGTGCTTAGTGCGAGTTTTTTAATGTTCTCGATAGCGTAAAAGTTAGCTCATATTTGTATGGAATGGGATCGTTTGCGTACGTTTGCCGCTAGGGGCGCTGTTACAACTGCATACAAAATTGGGTTAACTTTTACGCCATCGAGAACGTTTAGAAACTCGCACTAATAATAACATATCTATATTTCTATACTAATATTATAATACTAATACTAATACTAATAATTATAAAGAGGAAAGATTTGTTTGTTTGTTTGTTTCGAATAGGCTCCGAAACTACTGGACCGATTTGAAAAATTCTTTTTCCATTAGAAGCCGACATTGTCCCTGATGAACATAGGCTACTTTTTTATTTATTTTTTTGGTTTCATGTGTGTTTTAATGTTTCCGAAGCGAAGTATCTAAATATGAGTGATCATCATGATCTCTATAATCACTTAAGACCAGGTAGGCTGTAAGATTGTCTGCCGATCTGGAGTAACGGCTTAGCCAACATCAGGTAAGGAACAAAATTCGACAAACATTCTGATTAATCAAATTTAACTAGCATTAAATATTTAAATCATCAAAATGGCCGTCTTAAACGTTCAAACGAATTATATCAAAGAAAATTTCGTTCAAGGAATCTCTTTGAGTGCCTTTATAACTTTAGTTTTTGAGAGTGAGGTCGAAAATTCTGTTTGATTTGCTTTCACAATTATATAAACAAATATAACTTTAGCAAAATCGTTCTCCGTGGGGAGCCCTCAAAGTATTTCACCGTCATTCGCCTTGTCTTATCGTCATCACCGTTTGCATGAGTTTCATCCAGTGCCTGGGGATAAAAACCTATACGCAGCCCGGTCTGTGGAAGAATCGCTTAAGATTCTTGTTATTGCTAGGCTATTGTATTTACGTAATCATGGTTATCATCATAATCTCAGCCTGTAGCAGTCCACTACTGAACATTTGCTTGCTACGGTAGGCAGCTGCTTGGCTCTGCCTCTGGCATTGCTGAAGTCCATGGGCTACGGTAACCACTCACCATCAGGTGGGCCGTGTGCTCGTCTACCTACGTGGGCAAAAAAAAAAAAATGCATGACTCAGCGATTTTCACTGGGTCATCGGTCCATCTGGTTCTCTCACACTGCGCTTACCAGTACGTGGTCTCCACTCAAGAATCTTGCTGAACAGCCGTCCGATCTTCACCCTATGTGGTCTGCCCATTGTCACTTCAGCTTGCTAGTCCTACGGGCTATGTCAGTAACATAGTTTTTTTTACGGATTTCCTCATTTGTGATACGGTCTCGTAAATAAATAC